GCTGCCAGAAATCTATATTTTTCTTGGCATTTTTCAATCTTGAATGTTTTACATTTGCTGAGGTTTGATGTGTTTATTAGCTTTGAGTCTATAAAATATCATTCATAATCAGGCTGCAGTTATAGTGGCTGCAGTTAGGCCTAATTACTGAGACATGTGTGTGTGTGAGTGTGTGTGTGTGTGTGTGTTTCGGGTTCTTTTGGCTTCAAGAACTTAAGTAGGTCTATAATTAGCACAYGGAACAACATTGTTCTCAGATATCTGTTTTGATTCATGCTGGCTGTCACCCTGTGAAAGAAACAAATTACACGGGGAGGACAAACATGGTGAGCTATTGTCAGCGAGGTACAAGAAGACACCATGCAATTTTGGACGTTGTACCAAATGAGTGGAACCAAATGGTCGTGTACCGACGCAGTGAAAGAGGTGGTAGGAGCTGATTGTTGGCAGATTGTGTCTGATTCATCAGCACGTAATTACTGGATAATAGAAGCATTCCAGCTACTTGCACCAGAATAAGGGGGTGTTTGAAAAGAGGCTTTATTGAGCGCTTAACCCGAAGGTGCTGTTTTTGTCCTCCTAAACAAACAGACAAGCCTCCACTACTTTAGGAATTAAGTGCACCCACGTATGAGAAGTCCTGGAGAACATTTGTGGATTATTATAAATGAGCCTCAAGTTTTCTGGCATCGGATCTTCAGATGGGACAAATTACAGCTTTCTTCAGCTATTAAAGATCTGCCAGTGAGTGTGTGGAAACATATTAGGCCAACAGAGAAATGAGCCCCCATCTGCACCCCGTGTCAGTTGGCAGTCCATCTCCTGATCGGCACTCGCTCCATGTGCGGTCACGTTGGACTCCCAGCGTTCACCCGCTGCTCTCCTCTGTTTCCACCTCTCTCTCTACCCCCGCCCCCCCATTCCGCCCCCTTATCTGGGTGCCGGCGCTCCGAGAGGAGGGGAGCAGGGTCACGGGGTCAAAGTCTTTTCCTCTTTGGATCTCGGGGCTTGCTGGGAGAGGCTTGGCTAGAGAATGACTGCATTAGAGCTGGGGTTGGGGGGTCAAGATTTTAATTCTGTTAAAGAACAGCTGGTTTGAGTTTCTCCTCACGTCGCTCTTCCCTCCCCTCTCTCCACAAATCCAGGGAGATGAAAAATTTGTTCAGAGGGGAACCAGTAAAATAAAGAAGGTTTACGGTCCAAAGCCTTTACCCATACTCTGCTCCAGCATGAGGGAGGAATGTAATAACGTCAGCATTTGGCCTCAGTTAGATTGACTTATAACAAGGAAGTCCTTTCTATGTTTGGGTGTCTTAACAACCGGATGAAACTTAATTAAAAAGCTCAAAAATTGGGAATGGATTTTTCATACCTGAAACCGGAGGAATTCTCTTCCTCAAGTTTCAATTTCCAGCAGAAATTATTATTTTTTCACATAACGTTAAACAGGTGAGACTGTCGTTTCTGGCAGCTGCTTTAGCTGTTTAAAACCTGCAGCTTTCCTGATAAATCTGAAAGGAAACCTCACATCACATTTTACCTTTATTTACACAAGATTACAGCTGACTGAATCAATTTGAAATTATATTATTTATAAATTCACAGTATTTTTTGCTGTTGTTTTAATTATACACCAGGTTTTAGCAAAGAACAGCTCAGTTACATCCTTGCTGCTCATGAAGTGTGTTGAGCTGAATGCTAGTGCACGACTCGCACACATTTAGAGCTGATGGACCGGGGAGAGTGGAGGAAGAGGGCACTGGAGCACTCCTATAAAAGAAAAACTAATAACAGATTTTTCTCGTCTGCTTTATCCTCTTCGCCTCTGCTGGCCGGCTGGCTTGCTGACTAGCCCCGGGGCTGTGCTGGTGTGTGGCGCAGCAGCAATCAGAGGTCATAATTTCATTGGCGGTTAGCATCAGGTTCAATTTTTCTAGTAGGTTACATTTACCAGAAAGTCTGGATTGTGTTACCGTGTAACGGTGGAATCAGTGCAGAGCTGCTGAATCTCTCCACCTTTCCAAGAGGAGCAGAGTTGTTGCAAGAAGGGAGAGCTGTGTGGTCAGACAAACAGATGCTCGAGCACAGGATGTTAATACCAACTAAAAAAATACTAAATAAGAACAAGCCATTGTGCATTCCTCTACTTTAAATGCATTCGTATCTGTAGTCTGAGACACAGAGTACGCTCACATGTTCTAAAACAGGTGTCAAACTCTACTAACCACTAACAAACTAACTGAGCTCTACCTGGTATTTCATGCAAAGAAACATAGTTATAACACGTCCTCTTATAAACATTGAAAAGTACTACGTGTAGGACTGACTACATGTGAAATACATAATACAGAAATACWGGTAAAAGTGGGTAAACAGTGAGTAAAAGAGAGTTTTACTCACTGTTGAGTTGTGGTGAGTAGCTGCCATCTTGAACTCAGAATTCTCCCACTTTCCAACAGGAAATTCCCATGCATTGTGGGAAATTAGGTTTATGGTCAGTGCTGGCGTTAAAGCAGATTATTGTGAGTCATTAATACAAGGAGGACTATTCAACAAAATTGCTCATGGGGCCACAGTTACTTAGCTGTTTGTTTTGTTACAGTAAATCATAAATTTAAAGATTACCATTGATATAAAAACTTTTTCCATGTTAAATTAAATTGTTTTTTTTTTCTTTTTAATGGGAGGTTGCAGACGTCACCACGTGTTCTAAATGTTTATTTTGTCAGTTTACAAAATTAAAATGTAGCTTAAAATAAAAAACATTACCTAAGTCGGTATTACTCAATAATACAAAATAGGCACTATMCTCACCTTTAAAAGTAGTTTGAAACAGATCCATCACCTAAAACAGAAACATATTTTTAGGAGGCTTAAAAGTCAGCTCCCAAAGTGTGTTAAAGCCTCGTCCTGCCACAGGTCAAACCCTGAGCACGTAAGCAAAACATAAAGCAGTTATACTACTTCAGGCAAAGATTTCAAATGAGACTGCAGTTTTCAGGATGTGCTGTTGAAGCACATTTTGGGAAGCAAAATGAAACATTAACAGCTGAAAAAAAGATTGTTGAGTGGAACTTAGTGAGTTAAATAACACACTGTGTTTACTTCTATTTAAAAGAAGATTYCAAGCAGAGTCTTCAGCTCTTCTGTCACACTCAAAGCTCTTTGGTTAGTAGAAAGGTGTAACTGAGCAGAAGGAAAAAATYAACATACTTTCATTGGAATGTCATTCATTTGACATTGTTTTAAATGCCCAGCTGATTTGAAAAGATATACAAAAAAGTGCAAGCAAAGGAAAGCAGCATGTGTTARAAGCTGTAAAATTAACAGTGAACATTTTGTCTGTTTCAGGAATGTGACCAGGTGCACATCGATGATGTGTCTTCTGATGACAACGGTCAGGATTTGAGGTCCGTTCGATTCTCGGCTCATCGCTCAGACATGAATTTTTCTGAATGGCGGAGCAGCGTGGGTTAACAGATCCTGCCTCTGTTTGCATTTCAGTACGTATAACTTCGGCGCCGATGGTTTCCACGCAGCGGCCACTAGTGCCAACCTGTGCCTGGCCACGGGCGTGCGGGGAGGCGTGGACTGGATGAGAAAACTGGCCTTCCGCTACAGACGAGTAAAAGAAATCTACACCACCTACAAAAACAACGTTGGAGGTAATCCCCGACAAAGCAGCGCTGCTCCACGCAGATCTGTAGGGCAGAAAATACGGGTTTGGGGAGGGGAGGGGAGGGGTGGGGTGGGRTGAGTGCCTTCCGATGTTAGAGTGTTCCTGTGTTTGTAAAAGCCGGGGTAAATTTTCTTTTTGAAAATTTCACTGGTATTCAGACGGCTGCACCAACCCAAACAATGTTACCCTGCGTTTCAGGTCTRCTGGGCCCGGCCAAAAGGGAAGCCTGGTTGCAATTGCGAGCAGAAATTGAAGCCTTGACGGACTCCTGGTTAACACTGGCACTGAAAGCACTAACATTAATCCACTCAAGGTACGACTCCAGTGAGGAAAATTGTACCCAGCTTCGCACYAGACATTTAGAAACGTACATGTGGTGTAAATAAGTCCTCTTCAAGCTATTAAAAAAAGAAACAATGCTGTGTGTTTGTCTTTTGTCCAGCCTGTCTCTTTTAATTTTGACAAATAGGTCTGCTAAAAGCTCTGACTTGAAAAACGAGACAATTCTTCATGTTTTGGGAACTGATGCACTTTTATATGTGGCACAATGTGTTTTTCTTTTGTCCTCCCTCGGAGTGATTTAGAGTGATGTCACGTCTTTGCTGTCCTCCTCAGGTCAAACTGTGTGAACATCCTGGTGACCACCACGCAGCTCATCCCGGCCCTGGCCAAAGTTCTGCTCTACGGCCTGGGAACCGTCTTTCCTATAGAGAATATTTATAGCGCAACCAAAATAGGTAAAAAAAAAAGAAGAAAGAAGTGCTTTTATGTGTCACGTCTGAAGGTTTGATTTGTTTCTGCTTTGTTTTGCCCACTTTGGTCACTGTGGGGCGTGTGCGCTTGTTATCTTAGCCTGGTGAGTGTAAACAGTTCGGACACACACGCTACCTTAGTGGCTGGGACGAGATGGTGTGTGTGTGTGTGGGGGGGGGGGGGGGGGGGGGGGGGGGTCACCGGAGAGGATTGATGTTCTTCTGTGAAGGAATAGACCTAATCAACCTGGGATTATTTTCTTGGAGCAGGACCTGTGTTGGGCCTCCGCTGCTCGCTTCTGCATATGAAACCACTTCTGCACATTTATGTCATTCCAGAGGAACAGAAGTCCCCCCCCATCCCTTCTCCCCACAACTCCCCGCCTTTCCTCCCGCCGTCCCCTCCTTTTCTCTGTTTCAAATGCAAAATAAACACCAAGCCTCGCTGTTGCAACATTTTTCAGGCAGATCAGAGCAGAGCGTCGGCTCTCCGAGGAGCAGAGCAGACCCTGGGACACGCAAGGGTCCATTTGTTCCAAGTATCAGGAACTGCTTTTAACACGACTTTTTCCTGAACTCAGTCTTTTTTTTTATTATTGGCTGCCACCAAAGAAGAAAAGCCGTACAGTTTCTTCTCATTTCAGAAGAATATCTGGTGAACGACTGAACAGATTTTAATTAAACTCCCAGAAAATAATCGTAGGATCCATATTTACACCTCATTACCGTTTTGKAGTCAAACCAGTTCAAGATGGCCGACACAGTTCATTTCTAAAGCCGAAAACATACTCCCTCCGACGCCGACAGGTTGACGTGCGGTCACGTGGCTGTTAGGCAGTCTTTTTCGCACCTTTCATAGTCCCTGAGACACCCCACGCYGAGCTCGGGAAACCCCCCTCCTGCTGCAACATACGTCACTGTATGGAGTTTCTTCACACAACAGCCGACAATGCAGAATAAAAAGTCAGACTGGTCACTCACCAGACGTATTTATCCACATCTGTCCTGGTTAAAGCTCCAAAGGTTTTATCAGTCAGATTCCTCGGTGCACAACGTCTGTTTAATCTCCATTCATGAGTTTTTTCACGGTTTGACTATCTTTATAAAACTCTGCTTCCTGGTAACAGTCGGCTCTGGGAGCGAGTTTTTTTTTTTTTTTTTAGCGAGTGGTTGAAGTAAATGCAGCGCTTTCAGCACAAACAAACACACCATGAGTTTTTCTTGGTTTGCCTATCTTTATAAAACCCTGCTTCAACAGTCGGCTCTAGAAGCAAGTTTTTTTTGAGTGTCCGAGTGCTTTCAGTTTCAGCACAAACAAACACGCCCACGAACTTCAGACCAATCACACATTACCATCGTCGCGGGAGGTGGGTAAAAAGTTCTGCCAGCGGGTTGTACCAAAAGGGRCTGCTGAGCCGAYGCTGCGAACACCGGTGACGTAATTTTTGTCATGAAACTGCGACAACCCGTGCCGACATCGGCAGTTCAGAGGGAGTATGTTTCCAGCGTTAGGCAACACAGAATGCCTCAGACTTTGGCTCTGCCTCAGTTCATGGGCTTCATCCTTATGAGTGCGCATTTGTCCGCTGCATACGTCACTGCCCCGCACCGAGTGCTGTCCCGATTTAAAGGCTCCTCCTAATGCGGCCCACAAAATCTCAAACCAAGGATGCATCCGAGTATCCTGATCCGTCGACAGCAGACAAAACAGAAATTCAATTTGTTTTTAAATGTAAGTTTAGCAACTTAGCTAAGGAAATTCGGGCTACAATAAGATGTTAAATAAAATTTAACTACAAGTACTGACACTGGAGCTAAACCCAAATTATTAATGTTTTGTTTTTATTTATCTATGTGTAGTCCAGTGAAAAGACATGTAAAGACACATCCCAACGCATTGTATGTCTGATATGAAACCAATCACCATGGTGGTCACGCACATGTCCATCAAGTAAAGGTTAGACCATCTCATTTCACAGCAGTTTCATGMAGCCTACCCAGACTGGAAGGATGTGTCCCAGCTGGGCTACGTGCTCGTCAGGATGCAGCCCAGTATCACACAGAACTGTACATAACCTCATGTATAATGTTTGAACAGTACCTCAGACCTCCTCCTGCACAAGTGTTACTCTGACATGAAAGATGTTGGGTTCAGTGGAATTATTCAATAAAAACGTGTCGCCCTTTGAAGCTAACTGCTATTCAGTGCTTGTAGTCTCAGAGGTGTRTAGACCACACTAACATCTTGTCTTTGTGTCCTTCACAGGGAAGGAAAGCTGCTTCGAGAGAGTAATTCAAAGGTTTGGAAGGAAAGTTGTTTACATTGTCGTTGGAGACGGGGTGGAAGAGGAGCAAGGCTCGAAAAAGGTGCGAGATGTCGAATCGAGCACTCACACAGCTGTTGTTTTTTTTTTCTTCATTTTTTTTTCTGAAGGTCAGGAGTTTGTTATGAATGCTTCCAGAACACAAAACATACCTGCCATTCCTTCCCATAGAAACTAATTAGCACTCTTCGACAATCTTGCTCCGCTTTTCATTCGTTTATCCTCTTATAAGTACAAGAGAGAAAGTCTGTGGTGTGTAATCAGCGCTCTTCCTCCACCATCTCAGGTTTACAGAGCGGTGGGAGGAGGGAGCTGGCATAATTATATATTCCTGCTCGGCACTCTGAGCAGCGGTGAATGCTGTAATGCTAGACCGGCCCTTTCAGGCATGTCGGAGGCACGTCGTAAATAAAGGAGATCGCACATAAAGGGAGCCTWAATCAGCGTTGATGAAATTAGGATATTTGCTGCAGTGACGAGCCCGTTAGTGCAAGATGGATCGAGAAAACGTGACATTGTTGAATCTTTGTGTTTCTGTCGAGCTTAGATGTTCATTATCAAATTAGTCAGCGGCTATGGAGCATTTTTTTCTGACACTTTCAGTTGTCAGAATGAAAAGTCCTCCTTCCCCAGCTGTTTGTCAGTAAACAAAGCCTGGGACCCTGACGATGGATGAAGAGTGATCAGGGACAGGTAACAACTCAGCCTGGATGAAAGTGTGAAGAAATAGCTTCGTGTTATGAAAGGCCAACACACCCTGGGAACGCTGTCTTCAGGGACGATTGTTCAAATGGATGCAAATATTTTTACTCTGTCTTGAATTGTCGGAGAGTGACATTGATGGAAGTATGAGGTGTTTTTTTTTCTGCCCCCCTCATCTGAGCAATGTGAGTCCTCTGACACGTCACGGAGTAAAAGGTTTCTGTGTCAACATCAGAGAGGACATTAAAAAACACAACAATTTCACCCGTCAGGAGGTGCATATCAGACGTGACACCGCTTGGAACTACAAAAGCAAAAAAAAAAAATGTCTGAGAAGTCCTCATTGCTTTACTTTGAGAAAAAGAAAAAAGAAATCCTGAAACAATTCTTCAGTTATTACCGTCGCCTGGGAGAGAAGGCAGAGATAACATCTCCAGCTTTTAAACTTAAAAGCAAAGACAATTTACAAAACAAAAAGCAAAGAGCTTTTTAAGGGTCAGTGCAGGCTCTCCTAAGCGGAACATATGCCTGGGAGAGGCCATACCTTTGATAAGAGGGGGGAGGTGGGGGG